TTTGCAACACAGCAAATGAAAATCTGCATCAAATCATATATATATATATACACAAACAATATTTTGGGCAATCTGGGTTATGCTAATCAAACTACGCAAGTAAATAACTCATGATTCGGTTATTTTAGAAATCATATTATGCCTCAAATTTATTTTACTACTATTTTTCACTAATTAAGAGCTACAACTCATTTGTACTAACAGAACAACCAGTAACAAATGGAGGAAAAGGCTTGCGTGCTGTCAAGAGTGCCCTATTTTTCCTAAAAAGTCTTGTACATTATTTGGCATACAGCACACCCTCCTAAGAATACCTCCTTATACCACACTCTTCCTGCCTAGAGAGCCCCCAGTTCTCTCACTGAAGGAAAGATTTAAAGAAAAAAAATGTTTAGAATAAATGATACCAGACCAACAAAGATGAAAATAACTAGAACTAGGGAGCACGTAAAATACTGAGGGGAATGATACAGTTCCACACACATACATGCATGCACGCGTGCACACACACACACACCCCAAATGTCAAAGCAGACATGTAACAGATGACCTTCTAGGCTCATTGGAAAAGAAGGAAAGGGATATAAAAATATATATATTTCAAAATGTTTTCTGAAGCCAGGAAAAAGAGTCAAAAGAGGAGTTGTACTTGAGCACAGAGAGTATCAAAAAAGGTAATCATCCCTTTGAACTAATTCTTAAGTCTCAATATTTAACACTTCAGGGAAGTTTTAGACTGCATTTAGACCTGTTTGAAATTTGGCTTTTGTTTAATACAAAATAGGATGTCAGTTGATCAATATCCATTTGGCTTATATTCCTAAGTCCACAACCTCCCTTAAGTGGTAGAACAAACAGGTACAAAGCCAGAAAATTTATTTTTCTTTTAAACTCTAAATGGTATTTGCAGATGCCAAAAGGCATTTTGAAACCACTCACCCTTACTTCAGTAAAAATGAAAAAGGGGGATGGGAGGAGGGAGAATCTCATGAGGCATTGTATGTCAAGTTTTTGCCCAGAGCTAATTTCCATAGCTGTGTTATAAAAACCCTGAAAATGGAGGTTTATAATGGAAATGCTGACAGACCCTTAACTATAGCAGCATGAATGGATATAATTAAAGAAAAGCTTGTGGCTATACCTAACTCCACAAATGAAAGCTGCCATTTTTATATTAACCTCAAATAACAGCAAGTGAGAACTAGAAATGTGATTCCAGAAAGGTAATGTGAAATGTTAAAGATGACTGTTAAAACGATTTGACATTCGAAGTTTTAAACACGGAGGCATTTAGTTAACATAACCAAGTCAGTATTTTCATAATGCTACTTAATCAGCAATAAAGAATGCTCTGGTGAGCCATCAGCTCCAGTTAGCAGAAAGTGGCATATGAAGTTATTATTTCTTAACAGCCTAGAGGGAGCTGCTACTCCCTTTAATCAGTGATCCTGGTCCCTTCCTACCTGTAATTTCTCTGTCATACAGTTATAAAACTATTACCTAGTTCAACACACACATTCACACATCCTGCACACACATTTATGCAAGGACTGGTACCTTATTCCCACCTGAATTTGAAAACAGAAGAGATTGATAAGGTAAAGTATTTCATTCTTTCCCTTGTCAGGGAAGCAGCCAGGAATAAATATCATCAATCTATGTAACCCATCTTCCCTAGCTAAACGAAAATTCACCAGAATTTAGCTCTGTTCCTAACTTAAAAGAAAAAAAAAAAAGCCTATACTTGAATTTTTAACAACTATCCAAAATGTTTTTGATCTTTCCAGTAATATTAATAGTAATAATATTATAGCATACCTGAAAGACTCCTATGAAACACCTTAAATTAAGCTCGAGATTTTAGGTTAAGAAATTTGGAACACATATATACCTATGATTCAATTAGCTTTAGGACTTTTCCATGTTTCTCCCCCCTCTCTCTCCCTCCCTTCTTCCCTTTCCTTCCTTCCTGCCTCTTTCTCTCTTTCTCTCTTTTTAAGGTAAACAATGCTGAATGATTACTGACGCCCTTGCCCAAAAGATCCCCAACTTTTGCAAGTCTCTCCTGATATTACTCTTGCCTTGGAAGTACAAAGACAGATGGAATAAAACCACATACCAAACCGTAATTCCTCTCATTATTTACTGCAATCAGTTTCATTGAGGAAATATGTGCAAATTACAATGCAAGCCTCAGAAATTTAAAAGACGGAAGTGCTAAACAATGACAGCATTAATGAAGACCTGCACATTACTAAACTATTCTTATTCACACAGGCCTTATATTTGCTTTAAAATGGCTTTATGATTTGGCAACAAAAGTCATACTTGATTAGATACTCACTTACAGAAATTGTTTTCAATCACAGTTGAAGAGTATAAAACAAAACCAAAAATAAACATCTGTGCAAGGAATTAAATGTTATCAATGTAAACATTAAGGTACTTTATAAATAGATCAGTTCTAAAGATCAACAACACACTCCTTACCCCTTTCTCCAGATGAGAGCAAACTACAAACTCAAACCAATTTCAGCTCAACCTCCTAACGTAAGTGTAAATTTAGTGTCAGCTTCATAACCAACAGTCTTGAATATGCCTCCGATTCCCACCTCTGTGCATCTGAATAATGACCCCCATGGATTAACAGAGATGCATTATAGTTTACAAGGTACTTGCCAGCAATATTTTTCCAAACACTTCTGAAACAGCTTTGGCCTAATGTTAAAATACTTTAACTAAATTGAACTTAGAGAGCAAAAATTTGCTTTTAAGTACAATAAGTGAAGCTCAGATGGTCGAAATGGTGTTAATAATAGTTCAAATATAAATTACTATAAATAAAATGTAATTTGTCTCCCCACATGTAATTCATTTTTTTCCAACTAATGACTCAGTAAGAAGTAACCAAAACATCTACAGCAGCCCTTAAGAAGAATTAGGTCTCCATATACTAAACACAGACAGTGAAAAAGGGAAGTTGCAAAATGAAGATCATACATTTTGTGTTTTAAGGTTACAAATGGAAAAGGTCTGGAAGGTTCTGTAAGAGAGCGTTTCCGTTCTGTGGAGTAGGACTCAGCACGCACGGCTGAGGCTGGACCGGGTAGTTCTTTGCTGCGAAGACCCTCCTGGGCCCTGGGGTCTGGCCTCCACCCCCTGGGTGTGAGCAGCACTCCCCGTAGCTGAGATGAACAAACGCTTCTCCAAGCACTGCCATGTGTTCCCTTGGGGGCGACCTCACCCTGGAGAACCACTGAACTACGCGGGGAGAGATCTTTGACCATGACAGATTGTATTAGCAACTAGAAAAGATCTTAATAAAAATAATGATTCCCCAAAATTTCTAAGAAATTAACAGAGTTTGTGGGATATAAATTCTTGTTAAAAGTAAAAACAAATCTGTGTAAAAAGAAACACAACTGTCACAATTAAAAGGAACTCATCCGTTTTCAACGATAAAAGGCAGAAAAATACCGCGCATGGATCCCGCTACTCGGCTTCCATGGCGCGCCCTCCCCAGATGTCCGCGCGCCCCGCTTCATGCTCTGCGCCTCTGCCGTGAATCTTTTGGAGCCCAGGGAGGTTCCGACCGGCTGCCTTCTCTTCCTTGTTTTGTGTATCCAGACAAACGTGAATGAACAAACCGAAAGCGGTACCAACAATACGGGAATGTCTACTTCGGCCTGGGAAGCACAGGAGAGATACTACTCACCGCTTTTTAAAAGTGAACAAACAAAATGAATTTATTTGGCACTTGGGGAAGTATAACATCCGCTAATGAACACTAGACTGAAAACAAACAATTGGAGAAGACCCAGAAATAGTAAAAGCTGCTTCTAATGAAGTTGGTTATTTATTCACTTATCCATCTAGCTATCCATCCAAAAACCTGAGAACTTACAGATTTTCAGCTTTTATTAGGGGATAAGGGGATGATCATCTGACCAAAAACTCTGACTAAACACTTAGAATTTAAACTGAAGAGAGCAGATGAATATAAATACTACATAAATTCTAATGAGACATGAAAACCTGTAGATTAACCAGTATGAACATAAAGCCCATCACAAAGCAAATTAAGTAAATTAGTAATAAATAAAATTAGTAATGAATAGATTTCCACAACTTGGAGATACTGCCAAGCTTAGTACCTCTGAAAAACAGATGCTACTTTTGAAATATGGTATTAGGAAGAGGGAAGCAGTTTCTTTGTTAACTTCAGACATTAAAACCGTATTTCTATACATAACTTTTACACAACTTTTCAATGACAATAACTACACTGAGTGGCAGTATCTAACTTCTTAAGAACATATACTTCAAAGCTAAAACTGTTATATGAAAAAGGCATTTTAAAGGCAATAAATGTCATAACCACTGCTCTTACCATTATTTTGTTTATCCGGACATTTGCATAATTTAAGTGGATCTGAAAATAGTTATGTATAAGCATTGGTGCTATCAACAGAACAATCCTATATTAATCTCAGAGTAAGTCTTAGCTAGAAGTATTTCAGGTAGTTGAGGCTACAACTCTGCAACAAAATATTTAAAGACACTTATTATTAGTTTTTTTGATAGTACTGTGTGGCCAAAATCTCATGGGCACAAAACTGCCCATGTTGCACTAAAAGCCACTTCAGATTTGAGCTCATGGTTGCACAGAATACCTGGAACATACCTCCGGATAGTAATACTCATGGGAGAGGCAGGGAGGGAAGGGGAGGTGTGAAGTCCCAGCTCTGGGACTGAACCTCAGCTGCTACAGGCTTAGTTTTAGTTTTACGTGTTTGCACACAGGCTTTCTTTTGAAGAACTACTCTCTGAAAGAACAGCTTAGAAACTACTGATTTTACGCCAATGTATCAGTAAAAACAACTCCTCTTTCTTCATTTGGATTTCATGAGTATGTCAAAAGAAAAACTTTTAATACAGAATCAGCATAGATGATGATATAAAAACAAATCGATACATTAGCAGATTATTAGAAAACATACCTGATTCTGGCCAGAACAGCCTGCAGAAAGCTCAACACTATCCTGAGCTCGGATCCCTGACAGGCCCGAAGCAGCACACTGAAGCCATCATTAAGCAGCTTTTCATGGGGAGGATGCGAGCAGTGGCTGGTCTCAAACATGTCTTGAACACCATCAATATAGATGGACAGAAGCGTCCACAGAGACTGTCTTTGCCCTGTATCATCATTTTTAGACACCAAGAACTCCTTTGCTTTCTCCAGGAAAGCACCTGAAAATTTCTCAGCCAAAACACCAATGTCCAGATTTTTCTGGGTATACATCAGGAGGAAAGCCACCTGAGCTTTCCAAGTGAGAGAAGATGTTGCAAGGGAAGGCGTGAGGAAATTCAGGAGGCCTAAAACATGACTTGCCACGTCTTCCACCTCTGCAACAGCTGCTAACAGCAGAAAAAGGCTGAAAAAGTTCTGCAGACCAACTTCAGTTAGTTCTTCCATTCTTTTTCGGTGGAATTTAGAATATATTCTGTAAAACAGAGTCCCTTTAATAAATTATTTCATTCATAAAAATCCCTATTTTAAAATAACATTTCACTCAATACACATGACAGTGCCATTACTTTAAAACTTGGTGCTAATTCTTCATTATGATGCTGCCATGTCTCTTTCCACTTAGAAGCATCCTCAGAGAAAAGCACTACCGCCACGTTTCTCAATGACGCAGCAGTCATCTAAGTGAATCAGAGCAGTCAGTGGCTTTCCCCGAAGTACAGCAGAAACATTTTCGTATGGCACATGGCTTTTCCTTTTATGTTAGTCCCCCCCATTATATAAAGTTTTCTTGACAACTAAATAAGAATGTATAATCTTTTAAGTATAATTTAATGTGCTTCACAGAAATCTGAATGGGGCAATTTTACGTAACAACTTTCCTTAAACCTTTTCTCCTGCTACCCCCACCCCCTCTCACAAAGACTTGGCTCTTACTATGTTTATCCCTAAGATAATTCAAAGTGCTGGAAAAATTATTTTTTACCTATTCACAAAGAAAAATTGTTAAGTGTTCAAATATCCAAGACTAGCCATTAAAAAAATCTCTTGTCTATACTACTTAATAATACATGTATTTTTCTTTCACCAGTTAAGGGATTAAAACTGAAAACCATTCATCTTGAATCTTACAGATCATTATATTTTATAACTCCAATAACTGGCTTATTCAAGATAGAAATGATTTATGTCCACAGAGGTTAAATGTTTACTGGTAAATAATAGAGCTGATGAGGTCCTGAAAGTAAAGATCTTTTTAATTATCTTTATATCCCCCATCATGCCCACTATAGTGCTTGGTATATAGGTATTTCCTAATAAATAGACTTATTATTGAACAAACTCCAATGATTTATTTTAGCAATAAAGTTCTGAGTATTATGTCTTCCATAAAATGATTTAAGATTCAAAAACAAGCTGGCAAACGAAACAAAAAATTTCTGTTTGAGCCACGTAATGATTGAAGACTTAACAAAGTAACTATTAAAGACGAGTGTATTCTAAATAAAATATCCAAACGGTATCATCATCCTCTTGAAAGAATTACTCACTGTGGGAACAAACAGGAATTTCACTGGTTCTTGAGAAGTTCCCTACCTAGAATAAGAGCTATTCGGTTCTAAAAGCTCCCACCACATAAGCTGAGCAAATGATAGATGGTAATGTTGTGCACAAAGAGGGCTTTTAAAAAGGGTCTAAAAGGGAAAGGAGGTAGAATAAAGGAAGACAATTAAAACTCATACGCATTTAACAAGCAAAACTCAAAAAAAAAAAGATTGTGGGACCAAAAATATGAATGTGACCAGAAGTTTATTTTACCACTCTGGAAATGAAAACTGGCATACTTCCCAAATGCAAACACTGAGTTATATGGTTTTATTATGCTCTGGTTAGTTTTCATTCAAAGACGGAGGGTTTGTGGGACTGCAGGATCAAAGAATATGAAACTTTGTAGGTTGAATCTATTACCTGCCAGGGTACGATTTGGGGATGTCTTTTATTTCTATAATTGTTAATAAAATATATGCAATTAATTGTATAATAACATTACAATTAATTTGGGCATGAAAAACAACAGTTCTCTAATATCCCTGCATTTAATACATGAATTTCAATCTTAAGGACTGGTAAGAAACTAAAATCTCTACAAGTTATGGATATTAAGTTTGTTCATTACTGTAACAAATTGGCAGAATCAAAAAGCTCTGCACTTTGTTATTCTACATCAAGGATTATATTTTAAATGTATAAATCATAAAGACTTAGAAGCACAAATTAACTGAGAAAATACAAACACTAACACTTTTCCAAAGATATCAGTGAACATTCATGACAAAGAAAGATAAGGCAGGCACCTTCCTTTGACTTGTTTCCAAGGATGAGGACCATTGTTCTTCATTGCTTTCTTAACAACTTTTGCCAAAATGCAAAGGAAAATGGTGTAGCTACTGCTGGATTTATAAAGGTCATGATCTTGTTTATCACAACAGCAGGTCTTCACCATTTCTAGCATAGACAACGGTGACTTAATGACATTTCCAAGACCTTTTAAAGGCAGCCAAGAAATACTGAATGAACTATTCTAAAAGCAAAAAGAGACAGAAAATACGTATTAAGTATTACATTTTATCAAATTTCCCAACATTTTTGCTATACCACTTATTTTTATATCAGGTCATTTATTGTGTAGAATTTCCTACATTCTGGATGTAGCTGTTATATTTCCCAAGTGTCATTTTAATGTATTCTTTTATCCCCTATCTTTTCTGTAAATTGGTAGCTATATCTAGAGGACTGATCAGATTCAGGTTGAGTTTTTTGATAAGAATCATTCGTTGATAGTGGTCAGCATTTCCTACTAAAATCAGTAAAAAGGTAGGAAAGTTCTGACTGTCATCTTTTTGTGTTAAGAATGATCACACAGCCAACCTGATCTATCCAATCAATGGTCCTCACTGCCTTTCACTTAACAGTTTCGGCAGCCAAGGATAATTACTGCCCAGATGTCTTATTTTATCAGAGGCATACAATGGTGATTCTCTGATTTTATCATTCCTTCTGAATCTGTTCATCAGAAATTTGGTTATTTTAAAATAATCTGTATTTTCCTTTATAGTTGTAAGACGAGGATTTTTTTTTTCAGAGTAACTTTTCTAAAAGCAACATAAACTCAAGGATTTAAACATGTGTGACACATTTTAATCCACAGCAGTCATTATTCTTTCTTATGCTCAAATTCACCCAGTGTGGGAAATGGGAACTCTGTCAAGCTGGCTCTTGGGTCCTTCAGACACGACTCTAGCTTCCTCTGGTAACATTTATACTTTCAGGATAACAGGATACTCTACCCCCAACTTGTACACATTCTACCTCTGAACTAGAAACGGTCATTTCTGCAATCAGACTGACATTACGCTTCACAGAAAGGTATTTTTCTCAACTCTGTTAGGTATAAAATTGAGCTATTAATTTACATGTAAATCTTCCGTTTCCATTTTCCATCTTAACTCAGGGGTTCACTATTATTTACCCAGAAACCCAAACATTCCAAATAGTCTCTCCACATCCAACTAGGTAACTAAATCCTTTAAATTTACATTTAGAACTTTTATCTTCTGAATTTATCCTCCCCTTTCCAAATCGATCATCCCTGTTTTAGTTTTCACTCGCTGTATTATTTGTTCATATGACTATACTGGATTAACTCATCAGTACCTAATTCATTCGTATCACTTTCTGAAAAACTTTCTCAAAAATAGATGTAACATGTCAAATCCTTGCTTTCCAACATGTCCTGAAATGTCATGATCCAACAGCACATTATCTCTCACCCTTCATAATCTAGCCCCAAATGACATTCTCTGCTTTTCTTATCTCCTGTCTCTCTCCCTAGTTATCTCAGACCTACTTGACTTGCAGGACTAGATGCTCTTTCAGGTCTTCATACAACCGTCCAGACTGTTCCTTTGGCCTGGATGCTCTTTTTCTTCTGTACTTGGAAAATTCCATTCATTGCCCTGGCCAACTTTAAAAATTATGACCTCCGGAAGTCTTTGACAACTTCATACACTGGGTCAGATACTCCATTCTCTGGTGTTCCAAAGTATTAGAACTTTTTTCCAGCAATATATGTGTATCTGCCCACTAGCCTATATGCTACTCAAATGCGAAGATTATGTCTTATCCCGGAGAGCTTTAACTTTTCAATGTGTTGCAAACAATAAATAATTGTTAGAAAACATTTATAAATGAGGATTTAAAATAGTATCTTTCTTGTACGATTCTGGCTACTTTGTTCACTCCCATTAAGAGAAAGGGCGCATTGAATGTTCACTTCCCTTACGCTAATGGTCTATGGACGATGTTTGCGAAACTGAAAACTATTCTTGAGCTACTCTAACTTTGAAAAGTTGACATTTTTAGAAAAACCTATAACTATTCATAATTAAACCATAAAAACATTCCTCAGGTATCATGTACAAATTCTTCAAATTCCAGGAACAAGTTCATGTTCTATTTACTCACCAAATTCTTACTATAGTATTCCCATAGAATGGTGACAATTGTAATGTTTGGCTCCCAGAAATCACAAAGTGTCAAACAACAGTGAAGATACATTCGTAATTGCTCTTCTGGTACACAATCCTAAAAAGCAAACTGAAATTGTGAGGAAGTAAATGGGCTCTGGAAACATGAATATTATCATTTGGTATTTCATGTAATAGGCTGCTTCTAAAAAGAATGTAACTAGATTTCCACCAAATCATACCCATCTTCAACTTCAGACTATAAGGTTTAAATCAGCGTAAGGTCTACTTTTAAAATTTTGCTTTAAAGAAATAATGGAAATTACATAACTCAATTTGACTTCTAACTCAATTACTTAAAAATTACAATAGTTTAATAACTGAATGATATAGGTAACCCAGAGACTGAAAAAGAACCTCCAGCCAGAAAGGAGTAGGAAAAATGATCTAACAATCAAGATATACATAAATCCACAGGACATGGTCATACTTAAGTCAAGGTCAAATTCTTTATAGCAATCTAAGAGTTGTCTTTTCAGAAACCAGAGGATTGGCAGAGTATATATTTTAACCTTTTAGGAAGTGGCAGCAGGAAAGAGAAGCAGGAAAAACATAGATGCTTTAATTTAATCCCATTTTCTATGATGAAATAACCATGCATGTTTGTTAAAAAGTGACACACCACTGTTGAGTTCCAGTAATTCAAGAATTATGTATTTAAAGCTAACTCTATACCTGGTACTATTCTAAGGTAGTAGGTACAGAGCAATCAATAAGTCAGACATGGTATAATGTACTAAGATAACTTACATTTTTGAGGGGAATGGGAAAATAGCACACCCTGAAACAAACAAGATAAATTTTTAAAACTGCTGTGAAAAACAAAGCAGTGTAATGTGACAAAGACCTAGTAGAGGATGTGGATCATGACTGTATCAGGATGTGGATCATTACTGTATGAATGGAAAGGCCTTTTTGATAGCTGGTGCTAACGGACCTGAATGAAAAAGAGCCAACCATTTAAAGACCTGAAAGAAAAGTATTCATGGTAGAGATAAAACACACAAAGTTCCTGAATTAGCAGAAGGCTTGGTATTATAGGATTAAGTCAAAGATAGTTAGGGCCCATATCTCATTTGATGCTTTATAAATCTGGGTAAGAAATATGGATTTTATGTTACATATTTTGGGAAGCCAGTAGATGATTGTAAGCACAGGAATGACATGATGTGATTGTTTCAAAAATACCGCTCTATATAATCATAGAGAATGAATATAGAAGGATAAGAACAGAAGAAGGAAGACCACTTAGAAGGTAAACAATGACAGAACAGGAAAGGAGGTCAAAGCAGACACATTGGGAGATCTGAAGGTACATGGTGTATATATATAGTAAGCTTTGAAAAAAGGATTGCTGAATGACTAGGATTCAGTGATGTGTCACTTTTTAACAAATATGCATGGTTATTTCATCACAGATTAGATTAAAGGATCTACTTTTTTCTACTACCTTCTCCTCCTGCCACCTCAAAAGCTTAGGAGGCAATCCTGTGAAATTATAGGAAAAGATAAGTAGAGAACTTTAGAGATACATTTGGAAACAGAGGCAACGGAATTTGTGGGTGAGCTGTATTAAGGTGTGAGGGAAAGATGAGTACTTAAGGAAAACTCCCAGGTTTTGGCTTAAGAAAATGGGTTGATGAAACCATTTCCTGAAATGGCAAAAAAGACTAGGGGAGGAACAGATGGGAGAGGGCACAGGGCAACCAAGTGGGGATGCTATGCAGACAATTGGACATATGGGTCTACAAGCTCAAGGGAAACTGACAGCTGTTGATATAAATTTGGTTGTTGGTTGATGGTTTTTAGAGCTAAGAGATAAGATGAACCAAGGAAAGACTACAGATGGCAGAGACAAAAGGACCCATAACTGAGAGAACTTTGCTTTTCCAACATTTAGACAACACGAAAAAGGGGGAGATTCTCTAAGTAAAAACCAACGTCCAATGAAGTAGGAAGGAAACCAGACATCATGGCAGTGAAGAGAAACATTTCAGAAAAGGAGAGGAGTCGGCAGGGTTGAATGCTACTGACAGGTTAAAATGAGAATAAAAAAGAACTCTCAGATTTAACACCAAAGTCGTCACTGATGGCCTTGACAAGTACTTCGGGGGATGCCAGACACAGAAGCTTAACTATGGCAGATTGAGGAGATAACAGAAGGTGAGGAAGTAGAGATATTTAAGTGAAGATCCATAAAGTACTTGAATGGGAAAGAAGAGACAAGATCCAGTGCACAGGAAAAGGAATTAGCCTTTGACAGAAACAGTGACAATTCCCAATATAACAGAAAAGCAGACTGAGAGGCTAAGTACAAAGTTGGGAGATTTGAAGGTGGAAAAAGGAATTCTCAACTGACTGATCCTATTTTCTCAGTGTATGAGGCAAGATCTTTAGCTAGACTGACTGGGGCAGAGCATGTGTTGAATTATGCTTTTAAAGAAATTCTGAAATAAGTCATTTTGATGAGTACAGAAGCAGACAGTCTACAGCTGCCTGCCATTCAAAGTCAGGCCACTAAAAATGTGGGGATGGCAAGGGGGTAGGAGCGGATGACTAGAATTTCCCATATGGGGTTAGAAGAGAGGCCCTCACAGCAAAGGGCAACGTGGCGTAGCCGCAATCCAACCCCAGCCCGCAGGTGGGAGGAGGATGAACAGAGCGGGGAGGGGGCAGTAGCCTAAGACCGCCGGACACCCAGCCCAGGAGATGTGCTCCGGGAACACAGACCAGCGTTGCGTGGTGCTCTAGTGTTGGTGGGGCTGCACAACAAAGGCAGGCGAACGCTCCGTGAGGTGGAGTTTCCAGCCGTACCGTGGAGAACAGGGACCATCTACCGGCCCCCCTGAGACAAAAGCAAAGCAGGCAGTTTGAAAGACTCCCCAGCAGCCAGAGGGGCTTCAGAGGGGCACGGGTTACACAGTGCTCTCGGCCCTGGAGCAGCCAGAGAACTGCCCGCAGGAGCCGGTGGACTCACAGACACCGGGCAGGGGCTAGTGGTTACCAAAGGCGAGCGATTGGAGAGGGTGGGTGGGGAGGGAGAAGGGGATTAAGGGGCCCTATAACGTGTAATCACAATATAGGCAGGTCACCGGGCCAGTAGTACAGCATGGAGAATTCACTTGATGACTCTCTAACATTTTACTACGTTGCTAGACAAGTGACCACACCGGAGGGGGTGAGGACTTGATAATATGGGTGAAAATTGAACCACGGTGTTGTGTAACTGAAACCATCGTAAGATTATGTATCAATGATACTTTAATCAAAAAAAAAAAAAGAATGTCTTCCTATCTTTATTTTGAAATATCAAATTTAGGCATATTAAGTTTTGCTATATTCTGTATGTCAAGGTCTTTTATTGAACTAAAAATAAAAATATTTACTCTTTAAGCTTATTCTTTAAAAATTACAATTTAACAATGTGGGTTCATTTCTTTATGCATAGCTAACCTACCTATCAGAAACCATAGGAGGAATAAAATGTTTCTGCAAGTTAAATTATAACTGTTAGTCTGTCTAATTGGATTTATTATTAGGATTGGAAAAGAGAATTAGACTTCAATATCCAACTCATGATCCTGTCCAAGAAACATGGAATTTGAATTCATAATTAGAGGATTATTTTCCCACACTACTCAGATCTAATCACATTCTGAGTAGTTTTTAGCATTGGACTGTCCCAAATTCTTTAACAAAGGAAAATTAGTATTTAAAAAAAAATTAGGCTTGCTTTTTATACCCTTCCATGACCTTTATTAGAATATTATTCCTGTGCAGTCAGAAAATAATGAGCCTTTAAAAAGTAGGTAGCATAAAACAAAAGTCTCCCTATTCAGATAAAAAACTATACTGCTTTTTCAAAGGCCGCACAAATGTTTGTTGTTTGTATTCACAAATAATAAATAGGATTACCTCTAAAAAACTACATTTAAAGCAAATACTTAACTTTTCTAATTACACCTATATAAGTAAAATTAAACAATATATGCTCTCTTTACTAACAAATTCAGTGTCTGTTTCTGAAAGATCTTTTCTGGCTAGAAAAAGATTTGGAACATTATTTGCTTCAGTAAAAAACCAACAGGCACTTTTATTTGAAGACTGCTCTATATGTGGAACATGTTTTTTTAAATATTGCAAATGGACTCTGACTGTTGGAGATCAAGTCAAAGCACACGAGCATGGTCAGATTTTAATTTACCTAAATGGGGGAAACAGATATAATCAAACTGACAGCTCTCTCCAAACATATCATTTATTCTTTATGACCACCTACTGCACCCACAATTGGTTCCAAGAAGTCCAGCAAGTAGCCCTATACTATTTATAAAATCGAATTTGATGTAATGAAGACATGACAAAAGTGAAAATTTACTAAAAAGAATGGGCTACTTCTTTCTATATATATAAAATGACCTCTTCTCTCATAGGAAAGCTATTACTTTGACTTTATGCTAGACCTAAATCCACAGAGAAGGTTTCTTCAATTAGCTGTACTATCCCTACCTCTAGGTGACTGACTTTTCCAGTTAGCTCAGGACTTTCTGGTGTTAGCTCTGAAAGTTTCACATCCTGGAAAACCCCAGGCCAGGCAAATCTGGATGGTCACCCTACCTACCTCCAAGAATTACTCGTTTATCTTTAAAACAGCTTTAGCTGCCACCATTATAAAACTAGTTAAATTGTAGAGGTATACTATGCCGTGTCAGAGTAAGTTTTATCACATGAGAAAGACATTTCAACTAAGTTTGTTTTCAAGCAAATGAGTTTCCTTCATTTAAAGTCAAAATTACAGGAAGTCATATCCAAAGGAAAAAAATATTTTTATTTTCATGCAACTAAGTGTTTTAAGAGGGTTTGTGATCTTTTAGTCAAAAACCAACTTTTCTGTGGAAGGGAGATACGCTAATTCTCTCCTATTATGGGTATATTATGGGTATTAATGTATTTATCCACATGAAGCGTTAGGACCTCCTAAGAAATACTCTGCAATTAAAAACCTAGCTGACCAAAAATCATCAATTCATATTCAGTGTTAGAGCTGAAAGGAAGTTTAAGAGCTTTTAACCTATGTCAAGGCATTAAATTGGATTCATAGTTAATATAAATAACAATGGCTAATTTTCAGAGATTCTCTGTCCCTGAAGTAAAATAAACATGTATGAAACTTCTAGAGTTACCAAATCAAAATGTTCTCAAAAAGAACTAAAATGACATAAAATTTACATAAATTTACATAAATTTTATGTCATAAATAACTAAAATTTACATAAAATGACATAGAAAAAAAATTAACAAATTTTTACAAAAGTTGGGTAATGGCTCTTTGTTTCTGATATAACTAAAAGGATAATAATAGCTCTTTAGTTTCTGATACAACTTATGTTCAGAGGTCTTCAGCATTCTAACCTACAATTCTTAACTCATAATTAGAAGCCTCATGTTATAAGTAAATGTACTTACATATTTTGTCTAAAAAAATGTATAGTAAATAGAGCTAACAAGGAAAAGAAAATTTCAAGCCATTAAAGTGGTTTTCAAAGATACGGCTATAAAGTCCTACTATATGACTTTACATATATACATATACATACATATATATCAATATTGTACTACCACATTTCTTTTTCATTACTCTTCAAGTTTTAACAATCCTTATTTCTAAACAGAAAAGTAATCTATTACCCCAATTTGAAAATACTCTTTTCTAAAATTTCCCCTTAAACTCTTACATAAATAATTTAGGTCACAAAACTTTACAGAACTACAACGTGATGTGTTTAGAGATGTGATGAGCAACACATTTAAAACTATTTTAAAAGGAGGTCAGATTTGACTTCTGGGCCATGAAGCACTATATTAACAGCTCTGCAGAAAGAAAAATGATAAGGTATGAAATGAGGGATCAGAAACTAGACCTTATCAGTTAGACTATGATTCAAGCCTGTAAGACAAATTGCTCAGCAAGGCAAGTCACCTTCCTGCTGTGATAAGGATGTAACCGAATTTCCAGTGCCACTGACTTATCTCCCGCATCGTGTCTCCTAGACTTGATATCATACAGTCAAGGAATGGCTTGCAGTTCTGAAGCATCTACTACTTTCTTTGAATACATTTTGTCAAAGTCACCAAGTAGGACAATTATCTTTGTCCTTTATCTGGCAATTCAGCATTAAAAATAAAAATCTTCAAAGGGCAGTCACTAATAGGGACTACTGTGTGTTGACCCTTTGGTATCAAAAAATGATAATCCTATCTCAAGTTTTGAATAATTAAACTAAGTCTGTTATTTAAATCACTTTAACAGTTTGCTTGATTCTCATACATAAAATCTGTTAACATGAAAATTTAGCAAAGCCCACAATCGCTGCACTTACATGCATACCTGAATACTGACAGACTTTTTCAGCACTTCTTCTACAAAGTTCCAATTTGATTTCATTTGTCTCTAGAAAGGAGAAAATATTGCATCAAAATTATGATATAGCAAGTTAAGTATGAAGGACAACTATTTTCTCTATTATCAGACATTACAGTTTCTTGGGTGTCTAAAATTACTTTGGCAAATAGCTGACGGGCATGGTAGAAAAAATGTGTAATGATTCCAATCCACTATAAACCTTATCAGTTGTTTTATTAAACAGTGCTATTTTTACAAAATTATACATGTTTTAACAAATATTTAATATTGCTATCAAATAACAATCTAACAGAAAAAAAAGCATTTTATGTAATTTTTTGATTTTTTAATGCCCTGAATATTCTTCCTTATTCTCCACTTTATTCACCAAATTTTTTTTCCTTCATTTGATGCACAATAAACTCAAGACATACTACTCTAGTAAACACGTTAACTAAAAATTTTATACAGAAGTAAGTTTTGCACATTGCAACCTCATTTAGCCAGTGGTCACTTATCTGGCAACCTCAAGTATCTGGAATACTCCCCACAGTAAGCTAGAAAACCAAAAAGGACTTTCGCAAAGCCAAAATATCTCACAAAGGTTAAGCACTGTAAACAATTCCACTTTTCTAACAGGAAAGCGTGGAGGATCTTTTCATAGGATACTCAGTTCATTTGATACTCAGTTCTTGGTAAGGTTTGCATATATGGATACCTGGGTCAATCTAGAAGCAAAGAAAGTGTCTGCAAATAACAACTAGTTTCTAAAGGGGGGGAGAGGTACAAGAATAGCTGCAAGACCTCAAAAAAAAAAAGCCAGAGGCCTTAAAGAATAAAAGCAGAGACTCACCGTATCCTCCTATCCTTGTTACAACCAGTATGTTGTTCATAAGGATGAACCCAAATGGTTAAAGGCTAAAGCACATTCAGCATTCGTAAATTTAAATGGAAGGATAATGTTCATATATGATGCTAGTTGCATAAAATCACTAAGTAAATATTTCCTTAATTAAAGTATATAGTGACTATAGTATCCAGCCTCAAAGATGGCCCCCAATGATCCCTGCCTCCTGAGAGTCTTACACTTATTTAAACCCCTCCCACACTGCACCAGGGTTGGTATGTCCCCAGAGAATACCAATACTAATTGGAGTGATAGTATGTTACTTTTAAGATTAGAATAGGAGACACTGAGGCTTCCCTCTCAATGGGGAGAGGACAAGAGAAACTCCCTATCTGGTACTTCTCCAGGACCCTTCCTTTGATAATCTTTCTCGACTCATGGAAAAGCCACACTGTGAACAGGCCTATAGGGGCCCATGTGTTGAGTAACTGAAGCCTCCTGCCAACATTAGAGAGTGGAAGTGAATCCTCCAGCCCCAGTGGAGTCTTCAGAGACTGAAGCCCTGGCTGACCCGCTTGACTGCAACCTCACAAGATACCCAGAGCCAGAACCACCCCACCCAGCTAAGCTCCGACTGGATGCCTGACTCTTAGGAATTCTAGGAGGTAATACCTGTTGTTTCAAGCTGCCCAATTCTGTTCACAGCAATATATAACTAATACAATAAGTGTTATTTTAGCAAAATTACTCTTCGAAATTCATTTATGTAAATAAAGTAGATGCAAAACATTTATCAGGAGAGAATGTCTGGTTAAGAATCTGGTCTTGCCCAAACAGGTCTGGCCTTTACCCTTGGCTTGTGGGAGATAATCACTGGGCCCTTGGAATGTTACGCCCGATAGGAGTTTCTTTGAGATTAGGATTGCCTGGGGATGTCGCATCATATTGGACAGCCTAGTAATTTCTAATAACTGGAATTAAGGGTGAAGGCTGGACATGTCTAAAAACCAACGTAACTTAGGCTGGGGACTTTGGATCCTATATCAATTGACCTGAACACTGAGATAAACGATGTGGTCAATCAATCCATCAAGCTTATGTAGTGGATTCTCCAATAAAAACTCTTAAACACTGCAGCTTTATTAGATAAGCTTCTCTGGTTGGAAATACTCCCTGCATCCTGTCATACACTGATGCCAGGAAACTAACATGTCTTGACTCCACGGGGAGAAGACAAGAGAAACTCCGTATCTGGTATATCTCCTGGACCCTTCCTTTGTCTAATTTTAATTCATCTTTTTCCTGTTATATAAACTACAACCGTGAGTATAACAGCTTTCAGCGAGTTCTATGAGTCCAAGTAAATTACATGGTTTTGGGAATCCCTGAGCTTGCAAGTGGTGTCAGAAACGAGGGCAGTCTTGAGGACGTGCCCTAAAACTTGGTACTTGGCCCTAAAATTCTCTCAAAAAGGAGACCATTTTGTTCTATCAGTACTATATGTATGTTGTGTTAAGAGTCTTTACATTACCACTGCCACCAAAAAATCTTTCCCATTTCATATGTAACACAATTAAGTCCCAGAAAGATCATGTATACACAAATCACAATACTGATCACACCCGAATTGGTCTGGCTCCAAAGCCAGTGTTCCTTCTATACCAAGCTATCAGTAACTGAGTTTGTTTTTCTAACAAGCCTTCCCTCAGCTTTTAGTAATTTACTTTTATATCATTCTTACAAAGAAAATGTCACCACTAGTTCCAAATAAGAAGGAACATGACAGGATTGATGTATTGAGCTTTATAAGATTTGATAGTGTTACTGAGTATAGTTTAATTTTTCTGTTCTATCATGGCATTTGAATCATACAAAGTATAGACAAGTACTGCAATTCTTGTGCAAAGAATTCCAACTCTCTGAATCAGTATTGTGCCTATAATTTAGAACACAAATAAACCATAATTCAGAGAAAAGAATGGCAACTATATGATGCCCAAATCAAGTATGAGCAGCAGGATATGTATTAAGGGGATACAGATATTTTGTCCACAGCAAAACTTTAACATTGAACAGCCACAGCATTTTTTTCTACATACTAAGTTATACCTAACTTAATCCCACTGATAGGAAGGAGATACGAAATCATTAATTTGGGGCTATGTTGTGTATTCCTAAACTAATCATCTTTAAAACTAGGGAACCCATTTAAGCTCCACCAGAAATGTAAAATCAATCCCCATCCCCCACTTCCAGGGGACTAGGAAATCTGGTGCAACTCTCATTTTAAGGTTACGTTTAACACCTTTATCTAGTCACCATCTCAGATGCTGCAAAGGTGAGCAGTAGCTCGCCTGACCGCATTATGTTCTAGGCAGGGAAAGCACTGATAAACCATCCTGCGATGCACAAAAGTAATTTTTCTGTTTAAAGTGTATTTGCTTTTAAAATAAATGTCTGGGATTGTAAAAGGATAACACACTCTCATCTAGGTTGAGAGAAAAGCATTACAGCAAAATATAGGAAAATCTAAAGCCTCTAGTATGAGAAGTGAAATACCAAATTTTCCTTACAGGCCTATATTAAGCAAATGACAAATTTCGTTGTTTAAATTCAGATGTAGCAAAAGTCCAATTTATAAATACTTTAAAATTTAAAAAAAAATTTAACCATACCTGAAACCTATTTACACTTTCACATTAACCTTCAGGGAAAAAACTGTACTTTACGTTTAAACACTGAAACATCTCTATGGTTATCACAGACTAGAGACATTTCTCTGCTGCAGAACATATGACTAACAATTATTACTTCATATCAGCCTCTCACACCAGATTTCTCTTCACTGGAATTAAGCTGCTTACTGACAACCATTCTCTCCATGATAGCTGGCTATACCAATGCATCATAAGGAGGAAAAAATAATTCAGGTAATTTAAAAAATTCTGACCTAAGTATGTCCCGGACCCAAATTAAAATCCTATGTTATAATCTCCCTGAAAGATAAGTCAATATGCCTTTATGTTCATAGATTAGAATGATTATGTGATTTAGAAACAAAACTGAGGGATAGTAAAAAGGAAAACTAACCAGATGAGATGAGGGAATAATAAGCATTCACTGGGAAACTGGTACACATGGTTACCCTACCAAAGACCTATTCGTAAGAAGCTGTCCTTAGGACCCTAATGTCAAGTTTATCTAAATGGTAAAAATAAGGTGACATTTAACTATGTATCTCAGTTTCTTTTACCTGTGGAATGGACATAATACTACCTTCTCACCTATTTCAAAATACTTTACTGAGACAAATGCTGAGTAGTCGCTGTGTGATACTAAGCACTTTGCAAATGAAATATGCTGAAGGTGTCAACCCTAATGAAAACTATTATTAACTGAAAAGCCTGGTTTTTCTTTAAAAGCCATTAAGAGGTCCAGAAATATCTGAAACTCTTTGAGGACTCATGAATAAAGACAAAGTCTATTATAAAAATATATTATATACCATTATTTTGTCATATGAAAGGTTCTTTTTCAAATATCATTAGCGCTCTTTCCTCTTAAAACCTTCTATATAATTTAAAGAATTAAGATTTTTAAAAATATGTGTATCTTAGCAAAAGAAAATTACACAGGAACTGCAAATTGATATTAAACGACTTAGGTTAAGCTATTTTAAAAACACAATTTATTTACCATCTTGATTCAGAGGTAATAAAAGCAATAACCTCCTATGGCAATCTCTGAAAGAGAAGAGTGATTTCAGCAGTACAACTGTGGGTGGTTGTACCAGTACAATTCAACATTACAATAGTAATAGTAATGATACATATTAATGTGGCTAGATTACCTACCACACTGCGAGTGAGTGGGGGTCAATAGCAACCCCTATTGAAATGTACCATTCACTCAAGTAAGTGTTAATGGCAGTTTCAGAAGCATTAATAACCTGAATGAGTATGTTCCTTAAAGTACGAGGCAGTACAATCTTGTTTCACGTGTATTCTATCATCAGCACCTATTATTATGATAGCCACTCAATAGGAACTCAGAAGTGCTTAATTACCATGATTAAAATAGGAAGTTATGTTCTTAGAGGACTGAGTTTGTAAGTTAAAAATGCTAATGCAAAGACCTTAGAATTTCAGATAACGTTTTGAGTTCTTTTAATGTTAGTCTAGTATTCTAATTAAGAGATGTGAAACATTACCATATTAACTCCACAAAATACAGTAAAAGGGCTACTGTAGTAGTAATGGCAGTTGGCTAACGTTTATTAATTATTATGTAACAGCTTGGTAAAGACTCAGGCACAGGAACAAAGGGTATAAATCCTTCTTTGTGAGCAGCTCATTTTATTGATCCCTCCCAACAAACTGGTAGAATGCTTAAATACCCTGATAGGAGCCGTAGGTGAACTTCTCAGAACACTTTCTGACTTACTTTACCCTGGGATCTCCTAAAGGTTTTTTTATTATTAGGGGGATCATTTAAAGGACCTCTTGGGGTCAGTTCTTTTTCTATGGCACTATATCAGTACTAACTGACCCTGAGATTCCATGGATGACTTCTGAGCTGACTGTGTCCAATATTCCAAAAAGAGGAAAATCTGTCAAGTCTGTAAGGGCCATGTTTCATGAAGCAATGATTCCCCTACATGACAGAGAATGAGAACCAAAGAACCATTTTAAAAAATTAAAAAGTAAGGATATCAAAACTCCAAACCAGATCACTAAATCTGGATAGAGTTGAGACCTAGAAATGTGAATTTTAAAAACTTCCAGCTAGGCCTGATGATCGGCTGTGTTTGGGAAGCACTTGCAGAAAAAAACCAATTTTGAAAATACAGACACACTGGCTTCTAGATTTGAGGGGTTTACTTTATAAAACTGATGGGCTAATATAATACTATACTATTCATTTCTGAACATGGAAAAAATCATATACAAGTAGGGCTTCGAATAAATATACCTACCAGCTGGTTTTATTCATACTACTTTTTAAATAACAATGTAAAAAATGTTTCTAATAGAAAGAAATTAATGCACTAGTTAAAATCTCTATTTGAAGTAAACCTCATGGCTGTTTAATGGATGAAAATATCTTTGCAAAAGCTTCGCTAAAGAATTGTTATTCTGGGGAAATAATTTTTGTCAAATTATTCAGAAAGACTACGAAATCATATCTGAAGACATATGCTTTACCTTTGGCAAGCTTAACAGACTTTAGGGCTAGACTCTTCTGAATAATCCAATCCCACTTTTTCTGCAAGAGGTAACAGAGGCCCAGAAAGGTTTAAATAATTTACTTAATGTCAAACAGCTACTTAGTATAGAGCCCAGACTAGACCCAAGTCTTCTACAAGTTGATTTTCCTTAAACAAACAATAAAAATAAATATTATAATTTTTCAAGATGCAGTTACAGAAAGATCTACAGCTTCTAGATTTAGAAGTTGCATTTATCTCTGCAGGATTATAATCTGGTTTTTGTTGTGTTTTTGCTTATTTACTTTCTATTTTGTCTACAAAAAATACATATTATTTGAGAAGTTTAAAAAATACCTACCATTTCATCTGGTGCTCCATGGCGATCAAACTGGTAAAATGATGCTACACAAGTAATAATCCACCAGCTAAAACCTAATGGATCCCTGGGTCGGATTACAGGCACAGAACGACGTCCTCCATCACTTGGTGTTTCAAAGAGTGTTTTAAGTAGTTTATTCAACGAATTCCAAAAGGACTATAGAAACAGAGGTAATACTCAATTCAGTTAAGACACTAATCCAATCATCTTTGATTTAGTCTTTTCCATTTTTATAATGAAGCATACACACAAAAGAGAATACAAAACATACATACAAAACTTAAATAATACAAATACCCAGGTTAAGAATTTGAACATAATAAGTACTTCATAAAGATCCTAATGTTCCCACAATCACAGCTTCCCCAGGTAACCATTATCTTGACTTTTCTAATAAATCATTCCTGTTTTTGTTAAGCTTTGACACGTAGGTATAGAAACAAAAATCACATTGTTTAGTTCCCCTCTTTTTTTTTTAATGCATGTTTGTGTTCTTACATGGTTTGTTTCTGTTCTTTTGTAACTTGCGTCTTTTCCTCAGTATGTTTCTGCGATTCACCCATATTGAGTAAGCAATAGTTCACTGGTGTTCCAATACATGACTATATGATAAATCTTTTACCTAATTTACTGTTATTGAACTGTTTGTGACTTTTCATAAGATTTTTATGTAGGTATTTGTCTATTTCATAGAAATATTCAAGTTAATAAGCATAAAGTTGTTGACAATACCTTGACTTTTTTTAGTATCTGCAGAATCTGAAGTCATGTTCCCTTTTTTTTGGTAATCATCTCAAAAAAATTATACAATTTTAGTGACATTTCTGAAGAAACCAACTTTTGGCTGTTTTGATCTTAGGTATTGATTTGATCATCTTGGTTATTTTCACTTTCATAAATTTTTTGTTTAATTTGCTTTTATTTTCTTTGGTTTAGTATTCAGGGATTTTCTTTCCTAACCTTTTGTGATAAATTCTTAGCTCATTCATTTTCATTTGTATTTAAAATTATGAATTTCCCTCTAATTACATCTTTATATGTAGTATATATATAAAACTAGTAGTAGTATGTTGTCACTTAGTTGAAAGTATTTTATAATTCCCATTGTATCTTCTTTCACCTATGGTTTGTTTAGAAATATATCTCAATATTTCTCAGTATATGTATATTTCTCCTTGTAGTTGTCAATTCTCATTTTCTACATTTAATACCATGTTATTAGGCATACAAAAATGTAAATTTGTCTTATCTTTTTGGCATACTGAACCTTTTATCCATATGAAATGATTCAAGGCTTTGGTTGGTTTTAAAGTCTAATTTTCTCCAATATTAGTTTAATACATTATTTTTCTTAAATCATGTCTATCAATTCTGAACCCTTCTGCCTTTCATGTTTTAGATTACCTCTTGTAAACAGTGTTTTGAAAGTACATCTTTTAAATGAGCCTTTAGTAATCCACCTGCAATTAATGTAATGTAATCATAGACGTAATTTTAAGTCTGCCACCTTATTCTGTATTTCTATTTGTACTCCTATTTTTTCCACCAACACCTCCCTCTTGCCTTCTTTTGGGTTGAATATTTATTTAATTTCCCCCCTCTACTAGCTTGTAAGTTAAACTGTCTCCTTTATCTTCTTTTACTGATTACCTTAGAAATACCAGCACACATCCAAAGGTCTTAATATAAATTTTTGCTCTTCTGTTAGACAAAACAAGGACCTTGAAACACTATATATAAATGTCTTATCCAATTTATATGCAGGTATTACTCTGTACTATCTTTGTTTTAATCCCACTAGCTGTATTACTGATTTATACAAAATTTTGCCTTTTTTTCCTATTCCGACTCTCCCCCACTCTAGCATCATTTTTCTTTCACCTAAAATGTATCTTTAAAGATTACTTCCATCTTATTTGAAAGGAATTTATTTCAATTTTCACTGAAAATAGCTTTGTTTCACCTCATTCTTAAAAGATGCTGCATTTTGCAGCCATGTCTCTTCAGTTTCTTTTATCTGTTTAAGTTTTTCAGAAAAGATATTTAATGATCTTGAGATTTTTGAAGAGTATAGGACAGTTATTTAGGTATGACTGATGTTTCTTCACTGTTAGATTCACATCATACATTTTTGACAGGAAGACCAAAGAAACTATTTTTTATTCTGTCAAAGTGTATCATATTGAGAATATATAATAGAGATTTGTCCTATTATTGGTTAACTTGGATGACTTTGTTAAGGTAGTATTTGCCTGATTTCCGGCACTGTAAAGTTACTGCTCTCTTTGTAACCAATAGATATTCTGTAGTTACTTAACAAGCTATGTTCATTTTCATCATACTTTTGGCAGCCATTGATGATTCTTGCCAAGACGACTACATGGGGGTGTCAACTGATGATTTTCTAATTCCATCATTGCTTCAATTTTTATTAGGAAGAGTTTCCTTTTCTCTGTTTATCTGTTCACTTATTTTTATCAGTATGGGCTCACAAATTCTTATTGTGCAGATTATAATCCTTTGCTATCATTTACTTTGTTGGTCCAGTTATCCCAGGTTTGGCATCTGAGATATCTTCATGTTGGCACTTGTGTCCTTTTGACGCATGCTCATTGTTTTTTTTAGCACCTCCTTAGTTTCTGGTGAAAATGTCCCTGGTTCATTTTTTGTTTTCCATGCCCCAGCCTGAAATGAGTCATTTGCCAAAGAAGCTTTGCTTTCTTCAACTAGAGAATAGTAATTCCAAAACCAAGACATAGCTGCAATTTTCTTAGTTACTCAGATATCATCATTTCTAGGCTCACCTAGTGGATAAGATAATGTATGTATGTGTACACATACACAAACACACACACACACACAAACATACACACATACATCTAGATCTAGTTCTAATGTTTAAAAACCACTACTTCATATTAAAACCTCAAATTCTACAACCCAACATATTATTGGTCACTCTAGCTTTCCCTTTCTGTATCTGTAACTCAATTTTCCAGCAGTGACAAAACTGGCTCAAATTACCCACAAAACATTTATTAATTTTCTCAGTCCTAGAATAGAAATAGAATTAAAATTGGTCACCTATATATAACACTGTAAAAGACAAACTGTCTAACAACAGTCCATTATTTACAATTCTGCCTAATTCATTTGTCATTAGTACATAGTTAAAATAGTACATTCCAAGTTACCTAAGTTAGTCGCCTCCCACTGGTTCAATTGTTTCTATTTATTATTCCATTTAACCCCCCTTCCACACAAGTTGGTTTATTTCTGAAGCACATGAAAGATTAACATGGTTCTAAAGTCAGAACAACACATTTAAAACCTTCCCTTCCATTCTCACCAATCTCCCTTTCTTAGCCACCAATCTCAACAGCTCCTGATTTATCTTTCCAGTATTTCTTTGAGCACAACTAAATATACATATTTCCTTATTTTTCCTATTTGGCTACACAAAAGGTAGAATCCTGTATTTTTTTTTTGCACTTTTAACCTCATTTAATAATACATTTTGGAAATTACTCAACTATCAGTTATCTTCCTCATTCTACTGTACAAATGCATTCCTTCAATGTGCAGATATACCATGGTTTAACCACTTCCCAGTGTATGGTTATTTGTTTTCTAAAATGCTTTTACAAGCAGTGCTGCAATAAAGAGCCTGATGCATATGCATTTCTGAACTGTTGCTGGTATATACTGAGGGTTAACTCCCAGAAGTGGGGTTACTAGTGGGTCATAAAATCCTTGGCCCATGCTTTGTCAATCCTTTTTTTTTTTTTTGGCATTGGTAAGTTTTTATTTTATAGAAAATTTTTGTAACATTTTATATGTAATGCGCAACAGTGGCAACATATATACATAGTTCATATTTGACAGCTAAAATGTAATGTGTACAAGCCATACTGACTATGTTGCACACGGCATAACACAGGGGTCTCCTGCCTTATTCATGGCACTTTTGGGATTATGCGAATGCACATAAAATATATTTAGGCCTGTTTTCCCCAAAAAGGGAGTAGATTATTTAGCAACTCCTTCATTTTCTTTTTCTAACTTCCTTAAACATGTACTTTTTTCACATAATCATGTGGTAGAAATAAACATAGACTATGGTACCAAACAAATCTGCATTTGAAACCCAGCTTTATCATATTGCAACTGCTACTGGAAAGGTTTACTAAACCTTACGCCCATTCTATTTTCTGGCACATAAAGAACGGCACTCAAGAACTATTAATTTTATGTCTATTAGATAATGAATGTTAGGTTATTAGGAAAACACTTGTACAGGTATATCCAGTATTAGCCAAACACTCAGAATATTTTCTGGGATAAAAATATTTCCTTGATCAAAACATTTTATTTTCCTTCTTGGAATTCCCACACAATTTAGAATCTGTATGAATTCCGAAGCACTCCTGAGCCACTACTAGGTTTCTCTAATTGCTTCTTATCCTGTCCCCCTGGGAAGCAGCATCCTGTTGCCTTCAAAAAGAGGTCAGCAGCAGCCCAGTCAATGTATGAAAATAACTTAATAACCCTGAACTGCCTTTCCCTTTGGAAAACTTCCTTAGAGGATTAGTTCTTTGGACACTAACCTGGTTGCAGAAGATGTCTCTTTCTCAGGGAGAAAACCCTAAACCTCAGGTTTTCTCTCCCTCATTTCAGGGAGAGGGTTGCGCAGGGAACATGGAGAAGGAACTAAATACTTCATTTCTGAAAGAATGTTAGAGTGTGTGTGTGCGCATGCACACATACAAAGACACACACAAACACACAATTTCTTCTTGTAAAAAGAAAACTGCATGCATTGTATAAGTCAGTGCTGTTACATTGCAAAATTTTAAAATCCTTGTACAAGAGAGAAAAACAAATCTGACCTTAAATTTTCATATTTTAAGACAAATGAGTCTGGTTACTACATATAATGAAAAACAAAAATTATTTGGGTTAAACAGTACATATTACCATACAAATTTCTCCAACATTATATTTTACATTATGCCCACTTTTCTCTTAAAATCTAGAAAAAGACTAAACAACAAGTATGTACATACCTACATTAACTATACGTGGTTTACACTTTCAAGACTGTAGTTTGTAAAATAAAAACAATTCTAAAGAAATTTAAAATTCTTAAACAATTAAGTAAAGCTTTCAGAAAATGGAAAAGTTGATATTTACCATGAAATAAATAAAATGAAGTAAAACATCTTGGCAACTAATCAAAAGCAAAAAAGTGCTAAGCCTTAGTAATATTTAAATTTCACTGTAGAAAGTTGAACACTACTGACAAACCCATTAAAATGCCAGGAAAAAAATTCTTAATAAGTAAAAATACATTTTATTTATACTTAGTATATTTACTACTAAAATAATAACCCAAAGTGAATTTAATACTTGTAAACCTGCAAAAATACAGAGCTGTTAGTAAATTAGATGGCACCCAATCCCCAAATTGTGGAAAATTGGGAAATTCAAAAGCCTATAAAAAATCAAATGTACTTTTTCATGTAATGTAAATCACTTTAATTACCACTTCACAATGAATTTTTTGTACTCTGGCTATGGATACTTCTCTTTTTCTACTAACCCATAATACTTGAAATAAAATAAAGCCCCATTCTAAAGACTTGGCTCCAAATGAGGTGGAATTTGCTTCCCCTTCATGCTTTTCTTCCTCCCCCCTTGAAATAAGAAACCATAAAGGTGATTAATAGAAACCTATGTTTTATTTCTCCCCAAACTGAAATCTGCTACACTTCCTGACTAAATTGTTTTCTGGCTTACTAGAGGGTATTAAATATTTTAACTTAGAAGTTTCTTGATAAAACAAAAAAAAGAACTTGAG